CAATGATAATCTATGCTCTGAACGACTGTTATAATAATAATAATAATAATAATAATAATAATAATAATAATAAATGTTAATTTCACATTATATATATATATATACTTCTCTTACCTGGTGAACATTCTGTATGGCTCTGTGGTACCACGTGTCGTCAGATCATCAATAAGTACTCCAATGTAGCCCTCCGATCGATTGACAACAAAAGGGTCACTGCCCCTTACCTTTAAAGCAGCGTTTATACCAGCCACTATCCCCTAATAATGAAACACTGCTATATCAAACTGGAGCAACAGGTTTGAGCTACCAGTTCTTGTCACTAACTTGAGCGGCTGCCTCTTCATAGCCGGTGGTCCCGTTAAGCTGTCCAGCCAGGAACAAACCATCAACTTGTTTTGTCTCTAGTGTTGGTTTTAGCTGACGAGGATCAACGTAATCATACTCCACACCATATCCTTTAAAGGAGAGAAATAAAGAAATATTATATCAATAAAGATGCTTCATTACAAACCAGGATGTGTTACTATGGCATTTTCTAATCCTGGTATAGTGTTCACCATCTTTTGCTGCAGTTCAGCAGGAAGTGTACAAGATATTCCACCTGGATAGACAGTAGTACTCTCAAAACCTGACAACAATAAATTTTTAAAAATTAAAACTCTTTTTTTACCTTCCGGTTCAAGCCAAACTTGATGAGGTTTATCACCAAAACGAGCCACCTTGCTCTCAATTGATGGGCAGTACCTACGGGTCACCATAGCAACAAGCCACGCCCAAATGGACCCACCTTGGTGGAGTGACCTCGTCCAATATGTGTTTATTGAGGTGCTCGTTCTCAGTTATTATTCGATGAGTAAGTGAGTTTGTCTGTGTGAGGTAACAGAGTAATTGCTGACTGGCTAATGTCACTCCATTGTATTCATTGAGGAATGAGAATGGGACTGGGTCTTCATCAGGATACTGTGGTGCTGTAGCACTGTAATCTATTGTAGCTCCATTTAACCTTGGAGGAGTACCTATAATATAGCACTGATATACTTATAGTACAGCTAAGCAATATAGCACTGTTATACAACATACAACATGTAGTACTGCTAAGCAATATAGTACTTTTATACTGCTATAGTAATAGTAATGTTATACATGCAATATTCAGTTGTGCACTCACTGTACAATATGTACATGCATTAATATATTATTCCTCTTTCTCTCTCTCTCTATATGTACCTGTCCTTAGCCGACCAAGAGATAAGTTTAATTTGTCAAACGTTTCTGCTAGTTTGACTGAAGGAGGTTCGCCTCTTCTTCCAGCAGGGAAAGCATCAAGACCTGAGGGAGAGAGAGAGGGAGGGGAAAATTATTTTGAAAGGATGATGAAAAGGATGATGAGACCCACCAATGTTTATTTCTCCTCTAAGGAATGTCCCTGTGGTCACAACAACACAAGAACACGGCAGTATCTTCCCTGAACCTAAAGAAACATGAGAAACCATTCATGAGCTGACAAGCAAAAACCCATTTGTTCCATTGTCACGAAATCCGTGACAAGCAATAAACCCATTTGTTTCATTGTCACGAAATCCGTGACAAGCAATAAACCCATTTGTTCCATTGTCACGAAATCCGTGACAAGCAAAAACCCATTTGTTCCATTGTCACGAAATCCGTGATAAGCAAAAAACCCATTTGTTCCATTGTCACGAAATCCGTGACAAGCAAAAACCCATTTGTTCCATTGTCACGAAATCCGTGACAAGCAAAAACCCATTTGTTC